CCATTCACTGTTGGGTTCTAATTAACAGTGCTGTTCCTAAAGTGGCGCAAGGAAACAGTAACAAGGCCTGTCTGTAGGGGTGTAGGAGTATTAGAGTACTAATACTTCTGCACTATGGAGTATTAGACTACTAGTACAATCCATAACCTACATAGAACACTAGGCTAATGACCTTAGATGTTGAAGCCGTACACTAAAAAAAAAAAAAAAAAAAAAAAAAAAAATTTTTGCTTTCTTTTTGCACTTGTTGCCCGGACAGAGGAGAGTGTATGTAATATTTTTTGTTTCTTTGGCGTCAGCGGTTCTTTATATGGAATATTTAGAGAAAAAGTAGAGGGTACAGTTAATTCGATCTGACTGGTTTGATTTGCTGGTTTAATAAGAATATTTGATAGGATCCTGAGTTTTGGAGGAGGAGGTGTAGGTATGGATGGGTTAGTCTGGAACAAGATTTGGTATGTTATAAAGCCTTAAATATAGATCCATGATACAAAAACTACTAGTTTAAATTCCAAATATTATCCATATCTCAAAGTGGTCCGAAGTAGATTAAAGGGAAGTAAAAGGCTCAAAGTCTGTCGACCACATAAATTTATTAGGTTGGGTTGCAAGCGCTTTCGACCTAAAAGGTCATCATCAGGCAAAAAGTGAGTAGGTAGGTAGGTAGGTACAATCTGCAATAATAATTTAGGATAACAAAACGTTTTTTATAGAAATGCTAGGTGTCTTACCACTATGTGTCCACAGAAAAAATTAAATATGTTAAATTAAAATTTTAAATTGTAAAAATTGTTGTAAAAATTATATAAATTGGCACGTACTGCCTCCCTCATTCGAGGTTGGATATTGTTCAATCTTGAACCTCGCCTGCCTCCATCTAATGAAGGTGGTTATAAAAGATAATATCAAATTTAAAGTTCCACATGTGTGCTTAAGGCACCATGTGAAAAATGTAACTTTTAGAAAAATACCGTTACTCCCCCTATCCCCAGTACAAATGGGGTAGACGGAGTTTGGTTTGTGTACACCCTTAAGCCTAGGCTTAAGGGGTATCATTAATTAATAACTTTACTTAACTTAGGGAATGTTACTTAGCACCTTCGTCATTCAAGGGTGAAGTTGAATGAGAAAATGGTGGAGAATTTACGACATTTGACAACTGACATATGATGGAAGACACGTAGTTACAATTATGGTTGAGATAATAATAATTAAATTTGACATTAGTTAAATTGAATATGCTAAATTAGTTTTGTGACAAATTTTATAGTATAAATTTAAACAATTTGACAGGATGTCCAAGACTTTGGAGAGGCCACGAGTAAATTCTGTTGGTGTTATAAAGTTAGAGTGACATTTGATTTTTTTAAAAAAGAAGAATTTGACATTAGACATTAGATTTAGATCATAAATTTCCTTAACCTAAATCTAATGTCTAATGTCAAATTCTTCTTTTTTAAAAAAATCAAAGTCTTGGACATCCTGTCAAATTGTTTAAATTTATACTATAAAATGATTTTTATACAAATTAATAAAAAAAAACCCTTATTAAGATAGAAATAACGTCGAAATATTTAAATTGGAACAAAGTTCTGACAGCTCTTTGACAACTATGACATGACCACTAAGAGAGGGGGAAGGGGTGTCGTTTTTTTTTTGGCATGTCATCTCCATAGTATTCAACCTCATTGGTAAACACTTAAACATATATCTCTGAGAGAAATTTTTGTGTGTTTACACTGGACTAAACAACTGTTAGACATAAAGTTCATGCAATAAATGTCATATGTAAACGTACCTTAAAACTCGACCATTTCAAGACAATATTCAATATGACGTCATTGTTTTTGATTTACATCAGTGTAGTCAATCATACTCAAGGCATAGTATCTGATTTAAAAAAAAAATCATAAGGTATTCAATCAAATTAGCTTGATAGTTCTTTTATTATTTGAAACAGTATATACCTAGAACACTTTATTAAGACTCCTGAAATATGTTTGCACTCTCCACTGTTCCCAGCTTAAAACGAACATTGCCATTTACCAATTTCTACATCTTGTGAATGAGAACTGGCCTACAACAATATGGGGATCTGAATTCAATTCACTAGTTTATGGAACAACTGCATAAACAGATGATATATGTTTATCACTAAATTCATTCTTTCCACAAAAAAACTATATGGCCTGTATTTAAAATAGCCTCTTCTTTGATAACAGTCCTAGAATTTTCGCCTGCATCAATATACTTCAAAAGTTCTATTAAACTTAGCCTTATTTCAGACATCTTACTAAAAATAGAATAAATATATTAATATTTTATTAAAAGATAACACAAATATCTTAAATTAACATAAATGTATTAAAGTAACTCAAAAACAAAATTATTAGCGGGGTTACTTACCAAATAAAAATATACAGGGTGTTATTGAAATACACGTACATATTAAAATGGGGAATAGTATGTAATGACCAAAAACGATTGGCACCAATTTTAACTTCAAATTCTAAAATTTAAATATTGGGGAAGAGTCCCCTTTTCCGACCTACTAGTTTCCATATTTAAAGAAGTAAAATAAATCGAAATTGAACTTACCCATAGAAATTGCACTGTTGCCGTAGCAAAACCAATTAATTCAAAATAAAGTTTATTACAGTAATTGTTCAAAATGCCGTCCATTATTATTTACACACACTTGCAATCGTCTTTCCAAAGAACTTTGAACATTAGAAATTAGTCTTGGATTTTGTCGTAGTTCCTCGGCTACCGCATTAACTTTATTGGTTAATTGTTCAACACTATTAATAGGTTCATTATAAACCAGTTGTTTCATGTGACCCCACAAAAAGAAATCGCATGGATTTAAGTCCGGAGATCTCGGAGGCCACTTAGTAGGTCCATTTCTGCCTATCCACTTTTGAGGAAATCTAATGTTCAAAAACTGCCGTACGTTTAAATCAAAGTGAGGAGGAGCGCCATCTAGTAGGTACCACATCCGTTGCCTTAATTGTAACGGTATCTCTTCTAGGAGTACTGGCAAAATATCTTCTAAAAAGTGGAGATATCCTGGCCCATTTAATCTGTTCGGGAGAACATAAGGCCCGATTAAATACTGATCTATTATGCCAGCCCAAACATTTATTGAAAATTTTCTTTGATGCCCAGTTTCCCTAATGGCGTGAGGATTTTCATCACTCCAAATATGCGTATTGTGCATATTAAACACGCCATCACGAGTGAATGAAGCCTCGTCAGTATACAATAATATTTTTAGAAAATCAGGAATATCAACACATTTTTGAATCATCCATTCACAAAACTCCACTCTCTTTTCTTCATCACCTGGATATAAGGCCTGGACTTTTTGGATGTGATAAGGATGTAAACCTTGTTCTTTAAGTGTCCGCCACACAACAAATGAGGACACTCCAATTTCAAGACTTAGTCTTCTACAACTTAATTGAGGCCGGTTTTCAACAGCTTCCAATATTTCTTCTTCGGCCGCCAATGTTCTTTGTGTTCTTGTTCTCCCTCGATCTGCATTGACACTCTCAAATTTTCCATGGTCTCTTAGATGCTGAACAGTTGAAATAAACGTACGACAGTCCGGAATTCTCCGATTTGGAAACCGTTCGCGATACAGGATTTGTGCTTGCCGAGAATTTTCTCCAGCTGCCCCATAAACCAGCACTATATCCGTCAGTTCAATATTCGTAAATAGTGGCATCGTAAAAAAATATTTAAAAGTAATCGTAACAACACTTTTTACCAACTTGGAAATGACGCGCTCGTGTTAGCCAGATTCGTAAATCAACTAAAATTTTAATAATCTATAGTTTCAAAAATGTATAGTTTAAAAACAATCATTTATCAAATATTCTAGTTTTTTGATAACGAGGGTAGTAAAAACCAGTCTTCGGAAATAGAAATTAATTCGAAAATCTTGGCAACATGGTTATTTCTTACAAGACTAGTTTTCTTATCATCTGACAAAAACTTGCATATTAATTACTGTTGATGTTTAAAATAGGTAAATAAACCTAATTTATATAGGTCATCCTCAACATATCAGTGAAGTACGTTTGTTTAAGAATTAATTTTCAAAAATTAATAACTCCCTTAATAAGGGGTATTTTTAAAAAATAATATTTTTCTACATTCAGTTGGGATCTGCGCAATACCCAGTTTTAATATGTACGTGTATTTCAATAACACCCTGTATATTTTACTTTAACCTAAAAACTATTGAAATAAAAGTGTCTAACCACTAAAAATTAACAACAATATGTTTTCCTTAAAATAGCACAATATAAACTAAATACTTTTTACAAACTTAAAAATGTAAACAATAACAAGCCACATTTAGTTTAAATGTTAAGTACAGACGGCGCTGCGATCTTAATATTAGATCCCAATACAACCAACCACTTGCTATTTTACCAGATGCTCCGAAAAAAAGTATCGAGTTAGAGCAAGTAAATAATGAAAAGAAAGAAGACGAAAAAATTCAATACAAAATTGAAATACTTTTTATCAAAATTGAACGAAAAGAGACTTTTTTTCTGGAGGTAGTGATACTTAAAGACGGCGATTATTTTTACATCATGATACATTTTTTGACAGTTTCATTTCCGTGAAATGGGTTCTGTGTTGTTCCTGTAAACAATAGACTCATCTAAAATGCATTAAAGAAAACTTAGATGACGTTCGTTTGCATAAATTGCTATAATAGTGTTGAATAATGACAACTTACGATGTAAGTTTAAATAAAATGATCAATCGTTTAATAATTATTATAATATTTTAGATACTTATTATTGTTCAGTTTTATGCGGAAATATTCCATATTAAAAATCGTATTTTATTCTCCATTGAAAATATATAATCACCACTTGACAATTTTATTATTTAATTTAATTTTAAAAAAATGTTTGTATTTCGAACTACCATGCTGTGAATTTTAGTACTTAATAATTTATATTTTTATTTTATTTCAGATTTGGACCTCTAGTTTGGCGAAACACCAAAGAAAAGAAAAAATTGACGAAAGCGGCGAGGAACGCTAAATGCAACAGTGGCGACAGTGGCATCCAAATAGAGGTACCGTTGTGTAATTTTTTTAATAATTGTTATTTCTAACTAATTAATGTAGGCTAAAACTTTACATTTACTATTTTAATTAAATAGTTAAATAAGTTAGAGTTATTATTTCAAGAATTAATAATAAAATTGAGTTCCAAATGTTATGCAAAGAACCAAGCTTATGGAGAAATTTGATTTTCAGATATTTAATAAAAAAGAAACAAATATTTTATATAGTTTTTTTTTTAAATAAGATCATAAGCTGATTATCCATAACTGCGATACACTCGGAAAGTGGAAATTGATATCATCAGTTAGCTGAAAGTAAAATTAATAACTGTAACAGTAACCTCAAAACAATGTCACTGACGTATTTGACAGAATTGTAAATTTAATTGTCACAAAAGAAACTAAAAAAATGTCATTTGTATTCAATATCTTGTTTTATCAGATAACGTGGGATACGAATATTATTGAAAAATCTGTACATATCATGTTATGCGTTATTAACAATCACTTTTTCGTTGTTTATTATTATATTAAGCTAATTAAAATTTTATATAATTATAATTGTTTAAAATTTATATATGCATCCTTAAAATATCTGAATTAGAAATGTAATTTAATGAAATAATAACTCTATACTCAAATTACAGAGACATTTATAATATATACAGGGTATTTCAGAATGTAATGTACGTACATACGTTAACTGTAGGTGTAGGACACTTGGATGATTCGAAATCATCCATTATTAATGGGTCTATCACATCTCATTACCTAGATTTTTTCGCCTAGATTTGTTTTTAGCCAAAACTTAACAACCACTAGTATAAAAAATTAAAATTTGGCAAGTAGACTCATCTCAATATAACAATTAATGTATTTAGAAATCTGGCAGTTGCTGTGTCTAAAATCACTTTCTTTTACCATTTATATCCAATTGAATTGTTGACCTGAAAGCAAGTACCTAGACTGCAATAGCAGTAGGTTTTTAATATAATTAAAAAAAATCTAACTAGTCTTTAGATTTCTACCTTTAGTTTAATTTTTGAATATCAATTTTGAATTATTCGATACGTGTTTATTAATTCCTTCTATGTTGCTGGAATTTTATATTGTTACTATTAATTTTTAGTACTATGAAAAAGTAAATATAATAATAAATTTTTTTTAATTTCTAAATTTTAAAAAAATTATTTAAAGTTTGACTTATATCTCTTGTAAGAGCCCCGTAAAAAAAGAGAGATCGAAGGATCTTATTCAATTTTATCTTCATTAGAGTTAGCTTGTGGAACATCAATGACCTGCTTTCCATATCTAAGGATATTTGTGAAAGTAGTCATTTTGATCAAATATTAGGTTAATCAAGTTATTTCCCTTATTTACGAAATAAAATTAAAAATGTATTTATAAAAAATTAACTGTAGGAGTAATAATTATTAAATTATGTTTAAAATTATATCTTGATATTATACTCATTTTTGTTAAGTAGAATTAATATTTTTAATCTTTAATTTTCCTACTTTTCATTATACAAGGTAGGTATTTAAAAATAAATTTAAAAAATTATTGGTTTAGCTAACTACGGTCCTGTAATTTATTTCTAATAATAAATTGGGGACTGAAATAGTGTAAAATTGAGATATTCGAACAGTACTTACTTAAAAAAGTATTATTTTCTGCGTTTTTTCATCAAATAATCATTTTTGAAAATATATTTTTTATCAAAAAATTAGTGGCTCTAAAACGACATCCGCAAATAAAAGAGCGCTACCTAAATTGATTTTTTCCGCTCTTCTGAGATATTTAATAAGATATACTAAATTTGGTTATACAGGGTGTTGTTTTTGAAGCGGAAGGAAATGGTAAAATTTTGTAAAATTTTGTTAAATTTTGTAAAATTTTGTAAAATTTTGTAAAATTTTGTAAAATTTTGTAAAATTTTGTAAAATTTTGTAAAATTTTGTAAAATTTTGTAAAATTTTGTAAAATTTTGTAAAATTTTGTAAAATTTTGTAAAATTTTGTAAAATTTTGTAAAATTTTGTAAAATTTTGTAAAATTTTGTAAAATTTTGTAAAATTTTGTAAAATTTTGTAAAATTTTGTAAAATTTTGTAAAATTTTGTAAAATTTTGTAAAATTTTGTAAAATTTTGTAAAATTTTGTAAAATTTTGTAAAATTTTGTAAAATTTTGTAAAATTTTGTAAAATTTTGTAAAATTTTGTAAAATTTTGTAAAATTTGTAAAATTTTGTAAAACTTTGTTGAGCCAGAATTCAGGCGAAATTAATTTCTAGGTAATGACATGTAATAAACCTATTAATAACGGATGATTTCAAATCATCCAAGTGTCCCACACCTACAGTCAACGTATGTACATTACATTCTGAAACACCCTTTACTTATTTTTTCAATTTTTCTAAATTAATTTCTGTTTATTTTATGAAAACAGTAAAACGAATAATTACCATTAAAATCCAAGGAGAATCTAAAATTAAAAAATTAATTCTAAATAATTTTTAATGCACATTTCAATAAAATAGAATAATATTGTTATAGAATGTATTAAAATCAGAGACAACCCAGCGAGACGTGTAACTCCATATATTTTTTTTGTTCGTCAAAAGTTGTTTAGACGATTGCAACAGGCCTTTTAATCATGTGCTGAGCACAAGAGGAGCCGCTATGTTTAAATATTGGTAACTCAAAAGTTTATTACTGTTTTGATCAACAATGACTAGTGCAAAGCAATATTATCTCTACAGACAATTCAATCATTACAAAAAATTGGTGGTGTTACCTTCTTTTTGATTTCTACGATGTAAATTGTACTTAAGAGGTGATTTAGCTCAAATTGCCGATACTGCGTGGATTCATAAATTGATCAGGATAAATAAAATCAGAGTAGCTTGACCTATTCGCGGCCCAAAGTTTAATATGAAAGATACTAATGCGATAACGACAAAAATGTTGAGCGCCACCAAGTTTTTGAGTAACTTGGAAAACTTATCTGATTTTATATGCCCTGTTTAATTGAGTCAGTCTCTGGTACTTAAAGTTATCTGTTATGAGTTCTGGCAAATAAAAGAAAGTGAGAAAATTTATTACATTTATTAAAAAAAATAAAAAGAATGAATATATACAATAAATTAATTATGATTAAATTTAAAAAATGAATTCAAATTGACTGTTAACAAAAAAATTAATTAAATGAAGTTGAATAGATATTTAATATGTATAATAGGTATTTAATTGTTTCGATCATGTAGCATTCTAATAGCGGTACTTCCCTGTTGTATGTCGTCTTTATTTAGAAACTTGGAGCTTATTTGGAAAAGCTACATAACCTACACTTGGAGCTTTCAGCTCGCACTTGGAACTCGGAACTTGGAGAAACTACGTAACTCTGAGCTTCTTGGAGAAACTACATAACTTGAACTGAGTTTCTTGGAGCTTAAAGCTTGGAGCTTAGAGTTTCTTGGAGCTTGGAGTTTCTTGGAACTTAAAGCTAGGAGTTTGATGTTTCTTGGAGTTTGGAGCAACTAAATGTTTAGAAATAAAAAGAACCTCAGTAACAGGAATAGTACATCTATATGCCAGTTTGGAAATCTAACGGACTTATGCATAAACGGAACAAATATTAAAGTTACATCGTCTGAACAGAATATAAAATATCAGGACAAATATTAAAGTTACATCATCTCAACAAAATATAAAATATTTATAAGGCCAAAGTAAGTTACGAGCCATATATTTCCGTTCAAACTGTATTTCCAGACTGACTTGTAATTAAATTATTTAGTTGCCTCCCCGCGTATATATCAAAGTATCAAAGAAAGCTTAAAAATATTATTAGGTAGGGTAGCTATAATCTATATAAAATAAAATAAAACAGTAATAATAACCGGCACTCGTCCGCATGATGGTAATAAAAAAAAGCAAATAGCCTATCTATTAGCTTTCCAACTAAATCCAGCAAAGTGTTAAAATATAAGTTGAAAGAAACATTACCTGACAATTATCACAACGTTAACACACAATAAGCACATTCAAAATACAAGATAATTACGAAAATCTACTCATAGTAGATTATTTGTCGGAACACACTACCACGTAGTTCGATTAGCCAAAAATAATGATCCACAACACATACAGTAATTGAGCCCAAGTCGGGAAGGTTCCGATCCTGTTAAACTGGATCAGAACCCTCCTGACGACCACCAACCCCCTGATAAACTTCGCTTCAGGGGGCCTCAATTCTCCATCCTATGATTAGTATGCCATTCCTTCTGAAAGGGCTGTGAAGGATGACATATTATCAGCATTTAGACAGGGTTTGCTGAGGGCATTTGCCTGTTTCATCGTCCGTTTATTTGTCATGTGTGTGCCGTTCTGTGAAAGTCGCCACCTGTGAAAGCTCCCCCAGTCTCCTACTTGGCGACTGGAGGGACCTTCTTCCCCAGGTGGTTAGTCGTCAGTTGGTCAGTCCTTGTCTGAATTGCGTGATGCGCTCTGTCTGGTATTCTGAAAGAGAATGCTGAAAGAGAACGCTGAAAGAAAAATCTTAAATCTATGAGACTCTTGAATTTTGCACCCAAGGGTCAATCACTCGCCGCCATAGTCCAGCACCTTGCGTGGTCTGGCGTGTCTTCTGTAATCCGCTCTTTCGTACTCTGTGAGTTCTCTTATCTCAATGTTCGGGTGTGTTCTTAGTTTTTCGAAGGTGTCTGTGGCCTTCTTGTGTATGAGGTCTAGAACCCTTTTGGATTCTAGATCCCTCTAATAACGTCATTTCGGGTATATCTGTAAGCGTTTGAGGCTCATCTTAAGCGGATGTTCTGCTGGCTTTGGATCTTCTTTCTGTTAGTTCTACAGGTGTATCCCCATGTCGTCGATGCGTACATGAGGATAGGTATTATGACAGCCTGTATGAGCCTCATTTTTATCTGTAGTAAAAGCTTGCTTTTACGTCCTATTAAGCAGTTCAATCTTGATCTCGCTTGTTTAGTTTTCT